ATTTATTTGAGTAAAAAGATATTTTTTTTAATACAAATAAATAATTTTATCAGTGTAACCTGTAAAACCATCAATGCCGCTTTAATCCTAACGACTATTATTATAGAATTTGTGATTGAATATTTGTTTCCGGTCTCGCTTACTGAATCCAATTACGTAACACGATTACAGGTCTCAATAAGCAAATCCACAGACCATACTTTGATATTGGATTCTATTTGCAAAACATGTATTTGCGATAATTTATTCAATCTGTGCAATCTGGTGTATTTTTAAAGTTGGGATTTCCATTAACGCTTTAGCTGGATTGAATAAAATTTTAATCTTTATCATTTAAATGTTACATACTTATGAAATTTAAAAAACAAAAAAATGCTATAAATTAAAGGAATATAATCCAGATGCATTTCCTCATTTAGGTACAACTGAATAGGAAGCAATAAAATCCACACTACATGTTCACAAAAAGTATTGAAGAACTTTTATTATAAAATAGCAAAAGTCGGAGAAACTAACCTTCAGCGGAAATATTCAATATATCCGACAAGATTTTCAAATAGCTCCAAGTACAGTGTCAATTTCATTTGTGCCTCCACAAATTTTGCGAAACAGTAGACAAAAAAGCAACAGCGAGAATATCGACATCTTGAATTCATTGCGAATTTAACTTTCAGATTTTTCAAGATGCTTCTGAGGCAAGTATGCAAACTAGCAGATCGGATTTATGATATACACCCCTAAGCATCGATTTTTAATGTTGAGTTTTGCCCAAAGTTACTAAATTTGAGTCTCTCTTCAGGGGCGTACTTAAACTATTATAAAATTGAAATTATTTTACATTTAGAGAGAAGAAACTTATTGATGAAAATCCGGTGGATGTAATTTTTGTGATAAGGAAATATAGGTAAGAACTAAAATAGAGTTGATTATTTTTCTTATCTGGCCATACTTCATATAGAACTTGGTGGCAGGAGAAATATAATATACGTCAGGTCAAATGGGACTGCGCTGTTGCCCTTAGATTTTGTTTTCTTAAAATTCATCTCACAATAATATAAGTAATATAATTAATAGAAATAACATAAGTAGTTTTTTTTTGTAACAAAATCTTCAAAAGACATTAGATGTCTGAGACAACTAATAGTGCCGAAATTCTACCGACTTAAACACCTCCACTCTTTTTCACACAAACCGCCAGTCGGCATAACTTCGAAGAGACGTGATGTAAGGATGGTCACAGGTACTTCTTAACAAGTTGTTAGGGTAGGCTCATATATTTCTTCTTCTAAAATCTCTCTCCTTTTGTCCCAGTATCTTTTTGATCATGTTACCTATCTGTTGCCATTGCTCTATGTTACTAGTGATGACGTCTAAAATGTTTTCTCTAGAGAGCCTAATTCCAATACGATCTTCTAGCTCTAGCCTGATCTCTCTTCATTCTCCGCATTGAAACAGGATATGCTCTACTGTATCCACATTAGGACAATACATGCAATCTTGTTGCTCAGTCACACCTAATCTAATCAGGTAATCCATAAACCAGCCGTGACCAGATAGAAATTGAGTAATATGAAATGTGACGTTTTCTAGTTTTCGTTTATGCCATTCTTCAATATTAGGTATGAGTGTGTATGTCCATTTTCCTTTTTCACATGTTTCCCATTTTCTCTGCCACGTTTATAAAGTTTTTGTTCTAGCTTTTTTCTTTTTAGCTATGTTCTTACCTAGAACTTCACATCTTTCTTCAATAAGCAAGTCTATGGGTATAATTACGGAGATAATCAGACTGATTTCCATAGATATTGTTTTATATCCTCTGCAGATTCTGATCGCCATCGTTCTTTGTAGTTGTGCTAATTTTTTCGGTTAATTTTTCTATGCAAAACATTTTTCCAAATCTCTGATGCTTACATTAGGATTGAATGGACTACTGTTCCTAATAGTCTTCTCTTTGTTTTCGTAGTTCCCCCTTTATTAGGCGTTAGTCTTATTAACGAGGCCATAACCTTCTTGGCTTTAGCCACTGTATTCTTAAAGTGTTTCTTATATGACAAGCTTCTATCTAATGTGAACCCCAGATATTTTATGCTATTTTTTGGTGTAATAAGGACTTCTTCAATTGTAAACGTAATTGGTTGACTCAGTTTTTCCTACCAATTAGTAACACCGCCTCTGTTTTTTCCGGTGCTAGTTTAAAATCATTTAGTTTTATCCACTCGCTGATTTGTTCCAGAATGGTGTTAACCGAAATTATGAGGCCTTCCTCCGTTCTGTCTGTGACTATGACTGCAAAGTCATCTGCGTAGATAATGAGATTTATATGTGGCGTTGTCTCTATACGTAATATTCCATCTTATAGGATATTCCACAGTAGTGGATCCAAGACAGATCCCTGAGGAACTCCAGCTGCTTTCATATACTCTTCTCCATTATCATCTATGATTTTCCGATCGGTACAGTAGCTAGCGACTTGTATTCATAGGTATTTAGATATTTGGCGCCTTCTTAGTTGTCTGAGTATGAAGTTCCAAGAAGCTGTATTAAATGCATATTTGACGTCTAGAGTGAGTAGAAAACACATGCATTTTGATCTTTAATTTTTTCCATTTTCCTTTTGGCAACTACGACTTCCTTGACTGCATGTACAGTAGACATGCCCTTTCTGAATCCGTATTGCCTTTAGCACAAATCCCCTTTTTGCTTATGTTCATCATTTAATCTTGCTGCGATTATTTGTTCCATTAATTTCTCCATTGAATCAAGTAGACATACGGGTCGATAAGAAGACGGTTGTTCTTCTTTCTTTCTTTTTAAAGAGAAACAATTTTCCATTGCGTTGGGAAAACCCCACTTTTTATAATTCCATCAGCCATCTGTCGGAAACATTCTGGGAGTTTGTTAACAGTTAATTTAACTATTTCGAACGGTATCCCGTCGGGCCCTGGAGCTTTACGGTTTTTGAGCTTCTTGGCACCGTTTCCAATTCTTTCATAGTCACATCCGCGATATCCTTGTCTTCCCCTTGTTCGGGTATTCACACCTTTAATCCTTGGTTAGGAAATAGGGTATTGATAATTTCCTTTTTAAATATTGGTGGTATATCCAACGGTCTTGATTTTAGTTTCCCCATTACTATTTGGTATGCCTTTCCCCAAGGATCTTCTTCTACTGCTTCGCAGAGTTTTTCCCAGGCATTCGTTTTGCTTTCTATTATCAAGCTTTTTAGTTTCTTCCTCGCATTCTTTAAGTTGGCTTCTATCTGTTTCATCTCTGCTTGACTTACGATATTTCTGTTTACCCTTGATTTTTTCTTCTCACTTTGTTGCATGATGCTCGTTGTTTGTTGTTTTGCAATTTCCCCTGTCCACCAGTATTTTGCTGTTCTTTCTGAGTTCCACTTTCTCTTAGGCATTGATCCATCACAAACTTTTTTTAATTTCCCTAAGATATCGGTTGGGCTAAATAATTTTCCTGGTTCGAAATGTTTTTCTAATAAACTTTTGAATGATATAGCATTTAACTTTATCAAGTTTGATCCTGGTTTGTGCATTACATGATTTTTTTTGGCATTCATTCAGTCCTACTTCAAAATATATAAATTAAAGAAGACTTGCCGATTCTTTGTCTATTACTTCTCATCCTTTAATTTCTTCTTTACCTGTTTCACCTGTTTCAGAGCTTAAAGTGATATCAATTACCGACGTCTGCATACCCCTTATAAATGTAGGTTTATCGCCTTTATTCTGCACTACTAATCGGTTTATGGCTATCCATTCAGTAAGCTTGCGCCCTATGATATCTTCTCTATTTGAGCCCCATTCTGGAGATTTGGAATTCAAATCACCTGCGACTATTATTTTTCTTTTTGTTCTTCTTATGTCATTTTCTATTTCCTGAAGAAGACTTTCATATTCCTGGATGCTGCAATTCAAAGAGATATAACATGAAACTATTCTATATCCGTAACCCATAAACCTTTTTTTGCATTAATTTTTTTGTTTGGTTCGCTCATTATTACGAGATCGCAGCTCAGTTTGCTAGCCAGTACATCTGTTAAATCGTGTGAGGTACGACTTCGGCCTAGGTTTATTTGTAGTATTTTTTATAATTTTCCATTCTTTGTATTACTGCTTCCTTTGTGATTGCGAGTGGTCCGAGGCCGACTCGCGCTATTATGATTTTGATCATTTATCCTAAGAAAGGAGTCGCTGTGGGGTCCTTGATCCTCGAGTTGCCGTAAAGTATTTTCTGCCTCTTGCGTCATATGAATAAAGTTGGCCATATCTTTTGTCATTTCTTCAGATTGTAGACCTAGGTCCATTTTATCTTCCGTTTTTTCTGTTTCATTTCGATATTGTGATTGCTTATATTCCTCAGTGTGTTCACTTTTTTGATCTTCATTAACTGTTTGCTTAGGGACATCTTGATCCCTTACCGATGACTGTCGGCTAGTTTGTCTTTCGGTCCTTTCAGCCTGGTTTAGTGCTTTTCTGAATGCATCACATTTGCTCGTACCTGCTTTATGTCCGGATACGGCACATAGTGGACAAGACTTCTCATCTGTGCAGTCTTTTGCATAATGATCTGCTTCACCACATCTAAAACAGATTCTAGTTCTATCGAGTCCGTTGCAGTCGTTGGTACTGTGCTCATGTGACCAGCAGTTGTATCATTTGAGTATTTTTAATTTCTTATCCACTTTACATTTGACCATTTTAATAGAAGTATAAGAAGTAAACTTCCCAACTTATATGCACTACTTAATAACGAAGCAGAATTATTATTTATGATTTATTTAATCATCGCATATATGTGTCGTGTTTTCAACCGCAATTTAGACTGATCGCTTTAATGTATAATACATTCTATAAAACTTGTATATTATTACAAAAATATAGATTCATTATCAACATACATAATAAAAATTAAAATCGATTTATTAAAATATGGATAAAATATTATTAACGTAGAATTATTATAATAATTAAACTTAATTCCAGCAACGTACGTCACTGCTTTATCATTCGGTTCATTTGCTATTCAACATGTACATCTGACAGAGTTGTCGAAAACTCCAAATGAACTGGGTATTCCACTAGAGAGTTGCGAAAGATGGAGACCAACTCTAATTATTGGAACAGATGAAGTATATCCTTATCTTTCGGCGTAAAATTTCTGGATACGAGGGTATTTTCCCTTGAAACGTGTTCTTGGCTTCATCATGCGGAGTTTCAGCGTACGTAACTAATTAGTCTTTAATCTGCATGGAAATTAATGTTTAGAGTTCCGTCGGAAGTTTCGGTTTCAATAATATTTTCATTGATTTTGTATCAACAACTTTAGAATTAAATTGGTGTATCGATAGTATTATTTTCCTGAGGTATTATTGTTCACCACATGTTTCTAATGAACATTCTAACGACTTTGTTTTAGTCAGAGAGCTTGTGAAAAGTTGAAAATTATATCTAGGCTCGGAATTCAATAATTGTTTGCAGTTAATTGGTAAGTAAATATTCTGTAGTCGGCAGACAGAAACAAATTTGAAAGATATTATAAATTAAAGCACCATAAAATTGTTTTAAGGGGGGGGTAAGGTTAATTCGTGCAAAAAAGGCACATTTTTGTGATTTTTTTTTTTGACAACTCAGTTATGATCTGCTTATTTAAGCTAATGGTACGTTAAAGTATAACACTCAAGCACTATTGTGTCAAATTTTTATATAGAAATATTAAAAAATACGGAAAGGGCAGCAATTATTCCGAAGCGTCTCGGAAAAAAGTATAATTGCGGTGCCCCTCCTAATTCGGTGCTGGATTATCAGAAATAAAAAAATTTAAGTTCTTTCGTTAGATAATAATTAGTTTCCCAGGTAACGCTTAAAGGGTTTTTTAAAATTTAAATTTTTTTACTTTTTGGAAACACTTTAAAATAAAAAACGCGATATTTGTGAAAAAATAGGCTAATTTGTTATCATAAAATAAAAAATATTAACAAAAAAAAACTCTCCAGTGTTACCTCGTAAGTTATGTACAGAAATAGTGTTTAAAATTTAAAAAGAATAGGTGCAGTAGTTTTGAAGTTATGAGGGGCGCCGACTTTGGGAACGTGAGTTGTGGAAAAAACGCTTTAAAGTTTTGAACACTAAAAAATTTGGAATAAAACGTTCATAAGCGAGTTTTGTCGGCTTATCTCACACTGAGTTATCGATGCCAGGTCCATAAAGGATGTTTCTATTATTCATGATGTCTAAAGCATCTTTTTGCTCTTGTCTACGACGAATCCTCATTCATGAGCGCTTGATCCACTACAGATTCGCATGGAGGTTAGTAAAGCAAAAGAACCTGACAGGCCAATGCTGTACTAAATTATATACAGTATAGTGTTAAAATTTCTATAAAGAAAGCTAGGAGGTAAGATTATGGATTAATAGATAGCGAAACAGCTGCCAAGTAACAAAAGTGCGCTCGGGCCGAGCAGGTGTTTTCTGATACTCTTAGTCATGTATGAGGTGCGGTTACTCAAACCGCTGTACCTTTTTTTTTCTCCGATTTATCTCAAATTTCCACATTCTTGAAAAATTCTCCATTCACAAAATTAAATACAAAAATAACAAAATACAGATCGTCTGCGAGACGTGAGAGGTGTGAAGGTTCCCTTGTTTGTGGCATACATAAAACATCAAACTAGCGTTGACAGATGACGTTAAAAGTTTGTGAATGGTTTAGGATTCAACTAAACTGGACCTTATAAACTCATCAAAATTAATACTGTGGGAAAAGGTAAAGGGCTATGCTAGGTTTCCAGAAATATGTTATTTATTTATTTATTTGTAAGGTGAATATGTCTCGAAATTCTTTACAGCTTCGAATAACAAACTTTAAGCTCCTGTTAGCAGTAGATAACATCGTTTCAATGTGTTTAACGAAAGTTAGTTCAGGATCAAAATAAACTCCGAGATCTCTTATAAATTCGGGTCGATTAAGAACAATGTTCTGTAGTTTATAATCAAAAATTATAGGTGTTACTTTTTTAGTACAGGACATTACGGAACGTTTCTCAGGATTTAGAGGGAGTGAATTATTAAGACACCTCTTCGCCATATCGGACAAACACTTTTAAAGTCGCAAGCAATGCTTAACAGAATTGATTTCAAGCAATAATTTTAGGTCGTCGGCATACATTAAAACTTTAATATGCTCGATATTAGCGACTATATCATTTATAAAAATTATAAATAAAAGAGGAGCTAAAATTGATCCCTGCGGAACTCCTGATGTGTGTTCGAAATTTTTTGACCTGTAACCAAGACATTGAATATATTGATACCTACCCAACAAATACGAACCAATTAATTGAATAATTTGATCGCATAAACCAATTTAATTTGTGGAGCAAGATAGAATGATCAATTTTGTCGAAGGCCTTGGAGAAATCTGTGTATATTACACTAACTTCTATCCAAGGCTTCCGAAATGAATTACATCGAACGTACAAGGTTTGTAACCGTAGATCTATTTTTCATGAATCGATGTTGGTCATAAGATATAAGACGGGAAACATGATTAGAAATACGATCGTGAGTTATTATTTAGAATACTTTAGCAAAATTGCAAAGAATGCTTATGGGCCGATAATTACAAACATCATTTTTGCTACCTTTTTTATGTACTGGAATAATTCTGGAAATTTTCCAGGCAGTAGGGAAAATACATGTTTTTAAAATTAAATCAAAAATATGTTTCAACGGAGTGGCCAAAATTAGTGCACAGTCTCTGACATGAAAGGAAGGAATAAGGTCAGTACCCATTCACATTTTTTAGGGCTCTAATAACTTCTTCTTGAGATACAGAATTAAAGTGAAGCAAAGGTAAATTAATGGTAGATTCTTTGATGAAGTGATTTATTTGAATTGGCTTGAAGAAATTGCTTGAAAAGTGATCTGCAAAATTCAAATACCAGAAAGGGCCAAAAGCCGGGATAATAGGGAAAACAAAACGAATTAACCTGGTATACAGACGGTTCGAAAATGAAAAACAGCACAGGAACTGGGATCTACCATGTGAACTCATGGAGGACATGTAGTTTGAACCAGGGGTCACTGACAACAGTCTTCCAGGATGAAGTAACAGCAATAAATGCCTGCGCCAAAGTTATGCTAAATGACTCTCTTAGAGATAAGAAGATCTTTATCATGATAGAGAGTCAGGCAGCCCTTAAAGCACCGAAAAGGGTAAAAGTACAATCTAAATCAATGTTTGATTGCCAACGGTCCCTCCAGGCTCTGGCAGAACATAACAAGGTCACCCTTGAATGGGTGTAAAGATATGAGGGAGTGTTTAGAAACGAGAAAGCAGACCTCCTAGCAAGGAAGGGAGCTGAAAAAACTCTTATTGGACCAGAACCCACGTGTGGTATCTCATACCAACATGTTAAAAGGGTGTTAAAGGAACAAATAAATAGAGATAGAACTTTCTGAACTTAAACAGTCCAAAATATTCATAGAGGGGCCATCCATGAGCAGACAACATCAACTGCTAAACCTTAGCAGAAGCGAACTCAAGGCCATACTTACGGGACACTGCGGCCTTAGAAGACACCTAAATCTCTTAGGGATATCTGATGACTCCCTATGTAGAATATGTAAAGAGGAGGACGAAACTCCTATTCACATACTATGCCACTGTCGAAACCTTAAATGGGAACGAGAATGGCACTTCGGGGTACAATATCCGGAACCTGAAGAAATCGCGAAAGCGCTCTTTAGACATATTCTTGAATTCATCAAGAAAATCAATCTGATGGGATAGAAACTGTGAGGTGTACAATAAGCCTAGAGCTTAAGTACAAGTGGGCTTTGAACCATGCCCTAATTCAGCTAGATAGATAGATCTAAAAAAGCTTGAACAATTGCCTGTGGATTTTCTATACAGTCATTATTATATTTAACTGTAGTGGGTATGGAATAGGAAGAATTTTTAGAATTTATGTATGACCAGAGTTGTTTTGGATAATTTTTAATATTATTTTCAACTGATCTTAAATATGAGGAGTGAGCTATAGAAATATCTTGTTTACTTTGATCTCGAAGGTTCTTAAATTTAGTAAATGCATCTATGGAATAAGCGGATTTGTACGTTTTTCGGGCTTTTTCTTTTTGACGAATCATGCGTATTATATGACCATTAAACCAAGGTTTTTTACTAGGTATATGCTTATTAAAAGTAATAAACAATTTATTGTTTAATAGGTGAACACTTTTATGAACGCTGCTTGCAGAATCAAGAAAATTCCAATTGATATTGAGTGCGTTGTATAATTTTGGAAAATTTGCTTTTTTGTAAATATACTGCACGTGGTGAGGTTTACACTGTAAGCTCTTAACTCTAATATTAATGGGGCCATCAATACACAAAGACGGGTGATAATTATCTACATCTTATTTCATCGGCTTTATATACATTACATGTTGAATTGGAAAAACCTAAGTCAAGCAGACGATGATATGTATTTTCTATCAAACTGAATTGATTTAAGTTAAAACATTCGCAAATGATTGTACGACGTTTAATCTAGGCGAGCAGATAGAATTGTTTATTTGGGAAATATATACTGGCACATTGTAATCTCCTAGTACTAAAAGATGATTATCATAAAGAATATTTAGTAATGATATCACCTCTAATACAGCCTCTTAGTCATATAAACAGAGATCTGAAGAAAACGAAGCAAAATTGACTTGGAATACTATTGTACAACTCAATTTAAAGATTAAAAAAGGGATCTGACTCTAAAGCCATACTTTTCTCAAAATTTTATAGACGTAACTAGACCATGACCCATATTTAGCACCTTGTCGAAGAATGAAGGGTAAAATAGAAAGAAAAAGAAGTTGTTTTTAGAATTTATATGTAGAATAGATTTTGAAGGAAAAACTATATTTTACAAGAATACAATAAAAATCTATTTGAATATACTGTTTTTTAATCGAACTTTGTTTTAAATAATGAGTCGCATAGATATCAAAATATTATGTAAAACAGGTTAGAGTATAAATTGTTGAATTTATTCGTAATTTTGTTCGGCCAACCGTCCTCCTACTTTCATTTTGTTCGTTCGCATGACGTAATCCATCTGCGCTCATTCAAACGAGAAAATCATTATTTCGGCCT